AGTTCAAGTTGTGGTTGATCCTGAGTGAGGTGAGTCTTCTTACTATATTATGTACGATGCTAGTTGTCTCTGTGACTCTTGCATATACGTTGGGCGGGGTCCGTTATGTTGGACGGGGCCCGTTATGCAGGGCGGGGCCCTTATGTGGGTGACGCCCGATGTTATGTATGGTATGTGGTATTTTGGGGAATCTCATTAAGCTTTGTGCTTACGGTTTTGTGGTTTATTGGTTTCAGGTACTTCTGGTTCCAAATGGAAGGGCCCAACAAGATCGCACAACATCCCCTGGATTTTTATTCCACATTGTTTATTCGATTCACTTTAATGTTGAGAATATTTATACTTTGGCTAGTTTTGGAACAAATGGTTGTATCATTTTGGGTGTTTTGAAAATGAAATTTTTACTAGTATTTTTGGGATGTTACAAACATAATACATTCTAATAGCTATATAATGCAAATGATAACATAAAACATAATCAAAATATTCCACAAGTTTTAAAAAATGATCAAAATGCCCTTAACATCAAAATGACATGCTTCTACACTTTTAATTATAAAAATCTCGGTTCTTACAATTTGTGTATGGTCGAATAGGCATATGGACTAAGACAATTAACCGGAACTATATATATATATATATATATATATATATATATATATATATATATATATATATATATATATATATTGTGTCTAAGCTTATAGATTGCATGTTAAGAAACCTTAGGGATTGTTTGACAATATTTGCATTTTTTAAGAGATTTGGATTTTTAAGAGAATTCCGAATTTTAAGAGGTCAGAGAGGACAGTGGGAAGGAAAAATGAGGCAGTTGTGTGAAATAAAAAGAGAAGAGGAAAAAAATTTGCTAGAAACTTAAGGTATTTTCGAAACACACTCTTTTTTTATCCGGATACAATCTTTCTTTTAAAAATTAAGAGGTTGTTGAACAAGTAAGAGACAAAAATTAAGATGCTATCAAACGTTATGAATATGATAATTAAGATTTACGTTTATGTAATTATGTTGGAATCCAGGGGAAGATAAAAATATCTAAACAATCAAACCAAAAGTGATATTGCTTACTCTTATTCATTAAAAGTCATTTTCATATTTCCTGCAACACAAGTTTCGGATATGTTATGAGTTTTACTTTAAACTAATATTGTGACAATTGCAAATAACATATTTTTTGACCACGAACCATCTGTGGATCCGATTAGGGGTAATAATTTTCGACCCAACCCGTAACCCGATACTGACCCAACCCGTAAATAGACGAGTTTGTGTTGAGATTTTTGACCCGCCAGCCCGTAAACCCGCCAACCCCGTATATATATATATATATATATATATATATATATATATATATATATATATATATATAATTTAAAGAAAATAGACATATTTAATTATTAACTAGATGAGAATCATGCGCGCCCGTTGGCGCTGAGTCATTTAATTTTTGGTGAAACACCTCCAATTGAGTTCTATAAAGTAAAAAATAAAAACAAAACACATAAATATTCAAGAAGCCGATGTGGAAAAATGCTCAAAATAGCAGTGAGTTGAAGAATGAGAATTAAACTTACTGTCCATGTTAAAAGAAGGCTGACTTGTGCCATTTCCTTCCCAATATTCACCAACTAACAAAAGAACAATGATATGTAGAATGTTGACCAGTCAAATTCTAGCCCCAGGATGATAAACCTTGATCTGTACATTTTTTGGAATATAAACAAACAAATATATTATTACTTATGAAGGAAAATATGTTAAACACAAGAAAAGAGCAAAAGGGGTTTAAGAGTTGGAATTTATCCCCTTACCCTATCCCTTCGTGTTGAGCAGGGGATAAAACTGATGCGCATTGCCAACTGTTCTTCATTTACTTTCATGTTTGCCTAAAAAATTAAATATTTAATTAAAAACTTTATATAAAAATGTCTCAGATTTAATCAAATGTGTAACATATATTTGTTACTAAACCTGTATTTGTAATAGTCTAACTCCATAAAGCTGTCTTCCTTGCTATTCAAACAAAGATTGTGGGATTTTAACTTGAATCATCCAGACACAAGTTTCAATAAATTATTTTAATTAAACAAAAAAGAAAAAAGAAAAAAGTAAATTACAACTTTAGTCCCTGTGGTTTGTCAAAAGGTACGATTTTCATCTAGATGTATCATTTGTTGCACAAGCGGTATCTAAACTCTAAAGTGATTCTTTATTGCATAACTTCACAGAGCATCCATTAAATCAATGGAAAATTACCATTTTACCCCTGTCTAAATACCTTTCGAAGCTGATCAAGTATTGCATTATCTGTTGCTTGATCTTTAACTGTTTGCTCAAGTTCCACAAACCTCTCCAACAATGACTTCCTAACCAAAAAAACACAAGTAAACAACATTTAGTCAAAAGCACGAATCAAATTGTGTAAAAAGTCAAAACATGATTAATAGACAAAGTTTATAACCTGATCGATAGTGGTGCATCCAGTAAGAAGCTTATCAGCAATGGAGTCATTCATCTATGGTAATTCTCTATAGAAGAGTTCTTTACATTCAACCTAGTGATACATTTGCAAGAAAATTAATATTTGTGTAAATTATTAACAGAATTTGTAAGAGGAGGGGGCTTACAGTAAATTGACAAGGAAGGCCACGTAGATCTTCTTGTTTCCATGAATCTAGAAATGTAAGTGGGAAAGATTTTGTTTCACCTCCTTGAATTCTAATTATAGCATCAAGAAAACCAGAAATAATTCTATCTCCATCTTCTGCATCAAATTGGAAACCTGCAAATCCAACCAAACATTATAATGGAATGTAATGACCCATTCCATTCTTCTTTGGCTTGCTGGTGATCGGCGAAACCGCTTTTGATATTCTGGAGCGACAGTTTCCCTGCTTCAATCTGGTTGATGAGGGCTTGGAGGACGTCTCCATTGATGGATGGAAAGTGAATGAAAAGTGCAAAATGCTGCTGAATATCCATATTCCATCAAAAATCATGAATTTAGTAAAATAAAAAATAAAAAAATTACATGTAACAAATTTTGCAACATAAAAGTTATTAAATTGCAATGCATGTATCTGTTTCTACCGGTATACAAAATGTGATAGGAAACAAAAACTTCGAACACCATTCCCTGTAAAATGGAAATATACTCACCTGTTTCTACCAACTACCAACACTATTCTCTGCCAAAATAAATAAATAACATTCTTGAATCTTCAAGGGGTAGATTAGTAAATATATAACTGATTTTTAGAAATTAATAATTGGAAAAGACAGAATTCTTAGACTTTCTCTATTAAGTTTAAGTCTTTCTTATCGTATTAAGCAAAATAGAAAGAATCATATATTGGAGAACTTACCGGCTGAGTTGGATGTTATACAGTTTGTGCTTTTGTGGATACATTTTTAACTTTTGCAGCAACATGGTCCTGCACTTGATGATATTTTTTAGGGATGAAATGATTATATGATTATTTGCTTCAATTGCTTTGAAAATACACATCCAAACAACCCCAACTCAATCTTTAATATGAACTCATTTGTAGACAATAATGGATCCCTAAAACAGAAATGAAGCTTTCTCGTTAAGGTCTAACACCGAACTATAATCAAATTTGCCAGATTTTGCCTTTTTCATCAATGTCCCCAAATATTCATCATTTTCTCAAATATTTTATAAGCATCATCTGGAAAAACTAAGGATAAAACACCATATATTGCAAAATGACCTATTGAAAAGAAACAATAATCACTTATCTTAACAAAGTTTAGCTTACCTCTTTCGTTCCTTACCAAGTAGGCTCATATGCTCCTTAAGAAGCCCAATCCCTTTGTTGATTTTCTAGGCTCTCTACTTAAAAACCAAAAATTTAGAAAATACCATCTCATAGCAAAACATAGTAAATGTGAATCTGTAAAAAGAATATTTTAGTGCTTATTTTAACTTAAAGTTGGCATAAAATTCATAAAAAGGTTACAGTTTAGAATGTTTATCACATAACGCGGATTTTACACAAATCAATGAGACGAATGGATCCTTTCGAGCTACTATATGCGAAAGTGCTACAATGAATAGAAATGAAATTCAACACATGTAATCACGTCTTCCATAAAAGAATTCACAAAAAAATAGTATAAATAATATCAGTTTCAATAGACTGTGAGATTAAATTAATTTTTATGTTAATTGTGGCCCTGTATAGCTAAATCCTCTTCCTGGGGTATTCCTACTTTGACCTTTATTCAAATGAAACTCTTTAAAGATCTATCATTTTCAGTTCAAACTAAGTGCTGAAGTATGGATAGAAGAACTCACCTTGATATCTGGTACTGTTTAAAGAACGCCACCGCTGCACTTGCCGGTGGTAGGCACCGTAACCATTGACGGCTGCAGTCATAATTTTTTTGTTCCCGTAATCTGACAGCAACATAGAGGAATTGATTATGCCTTCTGGGTTACATGATCAATTTGAAGTTTGAGAAACTTGATTTGATAGGTGTTGGTTGAGACCAGAGTAACTAACACTTTAAATCAAATCATTATAAGGATTTGAATTCTAACCTTTCCACATTCCATCAAAGTTTTAAAAGGAAGGAACCATTAACTAATATTCAATAGAGGGGCATTATTGTCATTTCCTGCTTATTTGCTTTCCCAGGTATTAGCAGAACTTTTTCCAAACTGAAACACAAAAAATAGAGTGAATGCTTACCTCCTCTATTCATAAAATAAGCAGCAATGAAAGTAGAAGGTAAAATTGAAGCAGATATCGAAGAAGCACGACACAGGAAAACAAACCCAATTCTATATGAGCACAAAACCCCTGCCACCGCCTCCTTTGCGACCCATTTTGAAAGGAAGAAAGAATCAAAGTCCATTATGGCGCAAAAACAATCGTGCAACGGAGGAGTTAAACCAGAGAATGAAAAATAAAAAAAATGGATATACAAATATCATGTGTAAAGGCACCCAACAGTCACCCAAATCGATTCACTTTGAAATCCCAGATGAAATACGCCTCTAAAATGCAAACATAATAAAAACGTAAACCCAGTTGTCCAAATTCAATGTAATAACCGAAAAACAGAATCCAATATCATAACAATCTTAAAATTCCTGAGAATCGACTTACCATAGCTCAATTTGATGTATGTGTGTCTTTTTTTTTTTCTGAAATTCGAACTACAATCGATCTCAATCGAACCTCCACTGTAGAAATTGACAAGTTTGTCAGTCCATGTATATGTTTGGAACTAAAATCCATCAACCTCTTGATCTATTACCTGAATAGAACACGCGATGACCGGCGATGGCTAGGAAGACGGTGATTCAGATCTCGCGTGCTTCTTCCCCATCGGACTGTCGGCACTGTTTCACACTGAACCATAGTCGAATAGAAAAACCCTCCGTCTCGATCTATTCCCTCTGTGTAGGGTGGAAACCTAAGCAGACAAACCTAAAAAACAAAAAACAAAGGCCGCAGAAGAGAAGAACAGATAATCGCAACAAAGGGACGAACCGATTTTTTTTTCTTCAATGAAAATGAGAACGACAAATGGATTTTTCTTCAATGAAAGCGAGAATCACAAAGGGAAATTAGAAGAGAACGTCTAGAAAATGTTTAAGCCGGTGGAAAAGATAAAGCTTACCCAATTTTGAAGGCGGTGTGAATAAAAAAATATAAGCTTTTAAAACACAAAGCGTATGTGGCGAAAGTAGGAAAGGAAGGAAAAAAAAGGGCACAAATGAGAAATGCAAAAGTTTCCTGTTCACCACCATTTTAGCAATTAATAGTATATATAATGAAATCTGATTTCCTTCCGTATTCGTATGAGGCTAGTCTACGTTTGTGATGCCCTAATAAAAAAAGAAAAAAACACATCTCGCCATTTTTAGATACTCACGAGTCACGAACGAAGAACGCATCCACTTTGTATGAATGTTTTCATTTTTCAATTTTATTTGGATATTAATGACTTAATGAATATATATGCTGAAAACCTCTTTTTTTATGTTAATTACTTTAATCACTTTATGATTTTATGTTAAAAAAACCTCATTTTTGAAAATGCGTTGTTTATTTATTAAACGGGTTGGGTTTGACGAACTAACTTGTGAACCCATATACTTAAACATGTTATATGGGTTGGGTTGAGGTTTTCAACCCACCAACCCATGACCCGCCAACCCGCTAACCCATATATATTATATGAATTAAGTTGAGTTTAAATTTTCTGATCCGCCAATCCGTGACCTGCCAACTCGAACCCAATCCGATTGACAGGCCTAGATCCGATACGACTTGACGTAACTACAGAGGTTGGTTGGTTTATTAACTAGTAAAGGTAGTTTGGTTAAAAAAAACTATGTACATGAGGTATTTAAACTAGTAAATATAGTTTGGTTAAATAACTTAAACAAACATTCAAATAATTTGAGCGGTACATTAGTGTTGCAAAACATGATCCATAGAAAACTAAACAAACACATTTTTGGTTTTCAAGCTTGAATAACTCATTAAAGATCAAATTATCAACACCAAGCTTGAATAACTCATTAAAGATCAAATTATCAACACACACAGACTAAATGTTACCAAATATATAACAGAAGTAGGGGTGAGTACGGTGCGGTTCGGTACGGTTTTTGGACCAAACCAAACCGCAATTGCAGTTTTCTATAGGGAAAAACCGATAGGTGCAGTTTTGCGTTTTTATGCGATTTTGCGGTTATTTCGGTGCAGTTTCGGTTTTTAACCGAAAATTGAGTTGGTGCAGTTTTGCGGTTAAAATGGTGTGTTTTTCACGTGCAAACTAGATTTTTTGGTCGACTTTCTTTTATTTGCAGAATTTTGTTTACTTTCATTTATTTGTAGATTTTTATTGCAAATAATCTACCATTTTGACCAATTTTATTCTTGCATGTTTTATTTATACAATAAAAAGTTATTACGGTTATTTCGATGGTACAGTCATACGGATTAAAACGAACCGTATCGAAATTTGCAGGGTTTTTTTTTTTTTTTTTATAATTTAGAATCGCACCATCGGTTTTATGTTTGGTTTCGGTTTTTCGGTTATATTTCTATTTTTCGATTTTCGGTTCGGTTTTTGCTCACCCCTAAATAAAAGTGTGAAATAGGGTTGACATTTGAAATGTTAAAAATATATTGGGTTAATATTGAATACACTTATACCCGAAGGGGATGAACTCGAAATTTTTGGGTTTTGCGAGGCTAAAATGAAGATCACCGCCAAAAACATTGCCTCAGCACCTTAAGCCTCATTTCGTCGGAAAAATGCGATCGTCTAAAACCCTCATTGGCGCCGGAGTCTCGTTGATTAGGTGTCATATAAATCAAATTCTCAAAGCTTTCCACTCCACCTCCGGCATTCCCATTCCCATCGCTGTTGAAGTTCCAAAGCTCGGTGAATTTGCCACAAAGCGAGGCCAAAACACTACAATAATTATCGCCGGAGGCGTTTTTGTATCCATGCGGGCTTCCTTCTTTCAGATTCTTTCTCCCTGAAGGTATGTACGGAATTCTATCTGATCGTATGCATGGAAGACTGAATACGCATCAGAATAAATAATTTCCGTTATCATTACAAGATTTACCGAAATTATTGAGATATGAACAGATATGACGTCAGAATTCTTCAACAAAGTAGCCCTCGATTAACTGATGTTCGATCGGGGAGAAATCAGTATGACAAGTTTTATTGTACACTTGGATCTAGCTTCAAAAACTGGATTCTAATGCTTCTCTTTGATATTTTCGCGCTCATCACTATGCAGACTTGTTGTATTTCCCTTGTAAATGGAGTAATAGACTGATCTTTATACTTAAGGGTGTTAGGGTTCAAATTAGCACGAAGTTTGTCTTCAACTAAGCTATCAGCTATGTATGTTGTGTTTTTGAAATAGAACTGCAGATGTTAGTCCAATCATATTAATTCACATTCATATTTCTAAAACTATGCTTTGACAACTCCATTCCTATCAATATACAATGATGGTCACAGATTTTATCAGAAATGATATATAATTACTACAAAATTATATCCCACTCGTCTATAAAAGCTGGTTTCCAACATCTCTGCTGGCATTTCTTTTCTTAGGAGAAGACTCGTCATCAAGTGAACCTTGTGTCATGCATGTTTCATATTATGTTCATAATGCACTCTCAGAAGTCAGAACAAAGGAATATGAGTTGTCCCCCAATTTTGATCAAGAATCGAGTCAAAATCCTCTGGTTGGTGATCATCAAGAACAGTATATGAATCATCCATGAATGATGGTGGAAAGGGAGGAAGCTCATCAAGTTGCATTTCAATTTCATCTTCTTGATGATGTTTGATCAATGGAATGTTCCCATTAAGGTTTGAACTACACAAACCCTCTTGATCTTGCTCATTGCTTCCAGGAACCTGAATTTTGTTATTTTTAAGGTTAGCAGCAATAATAGTATGACCAGAGGAGTTGCCATGAGGAAGAAGCTTCTTTTTCTTGTTGGAGTTCCAGAAGTTTTTGATTGCACTATCTGTTCTACCTGGTAAGTGTTTTGCTATCTGTGCCCATCTTTTTTAAAACAAATAACAAAAGAAATCAATATCTTCAAAACAATTAATCAAAAGATATGTAAAAAATTTATCTTGTTACTTACTTATTTCCCAAGGTTCTGTGTAGATCAATTATGAGCATGGCTTCTTGGGAAGTAAAGTTTCCTCGTTTTACACCTGGTCTTAGATAATTAATCCATCTTAGTCTACAACTCTTTCCACATCTTTGTAACCCTAATCCAAATCCAAATCCAATCAAATATGTAAGTGATTAAATTTATAAAATATAACATATCAATTAATTTAAAGAATAGTAAAAAGAAAGACCAGCAAGTTTAGGAACTGAGCTCCAACAACCATGGCTTCCATGTGTAGTAATATAACTGATAAGCTTCTCATCCTCATCTGGTGACCACAACCCTCTTTTTATCTTCTGTTTATGTTGCCCTCCACTCATTGCTCATTCACAAACAAATAATTCTTGTAATCTTCTAAATATAACACCTTTTGATATCGTAATCATATATAGAAACATGATAACATCAACATGTCTATAAATCAAATGTTGTAGTTGACAAATGAAATACATAAAGTAGGAGAGTGGGTAGGGGACCTGGTTGTTACTTGTTACTGTTTGATTGGTCGTGTCTCATGACTTTGATCAACTTATTTTTTTACCATTTGAGTATTGTACTCTAGACATGAAATTTTAGAACTAAAAAGGGTTCTTAAAATTATTAATGAAGTAACATGGAAACAATTAATGATAATAAGGCAACATCAACAGGTGTCTACAGTTAATGTGTACAACATACGACTTTTATTACGCTAAGTATGGTAATTAATGCAGTGTTGCTGTTTTAAGATATAAAAGGAGGAATCAAAGTCTCATCAAGTGACATATATGTAGTAGAATTTGGTGATGTGTCGTTTTCAGTAACATTCCTTTGATGAAATCTTGGTTTCATGTATATGAGAAAAATGGTTGAAATTCGATTAAAACGTATTCAATTGCTTATATACAAATGTTGATTTGGACACCTGTCTGAAGTCTACTAATGTTGATGATTAAGATGAAGTACAATGGGCCAATGAACTCCTTTGCTTTCAGGTACTCTTTAAATGCTAACATTATCCTAAAATAATGCAAATTGAATCTTTACCAAAAACACACACAAATGCATTTCTACATCCCAATTAACACCATTTCCAACACCAAATATGTGTTGTGAATGATATTACAACATAAAATATGGTTTTATATGCTCATTAACATCAAATTTGGTGTTAAAGTTTAATGTGTGTAATGTTGGTTATTCAAGTTTAAATTTATATATTTCTAGTTTATTTTAATTGTTTGAGGTGGAGTGTCTATATTTCCAGTAATTTAGTTTTATAGTATAATATTTCTATAAATGAATATGTAGTATTTATTTAAATATGTTATAGATGTATATTTTATTTAATAGACTTTTTTTTAATAATATAACAATAATTAGTTCGAATTAATTACATACAAATGATTTCTTTGGCAATATTTTTTTAATAATATAATCTATAAAGTTATTTTGACCAAAAGATGTAAGAAATTAAACTTTGTAAAAAGCTAATTAAGTTCAAAAAAGTATACATGAAATATAGTTTTTGGTATAATAATTGATGTAATTGGTTGGTCAATAAAATCAATAACCGAATAACTGGTTATAAGATCTAGACATTTTAACCGTTTTTTTTTTAAATTTATTCAACAAAACTTATTAATTAATAAATTGTTAACACGTTTTTTTCTCCAATCAAATTGATCTATATTTATTTATTTGATTATAACATACAAAACGAAAAAGATTATGAAAATTACACCATGCCTAAATGTCTGTCAAACTCGCCAAAATGTATTGAGTGTCAACTTGTCAACACTTATAACATATAAACGTAATGAAATTTCTGTTTATGTTGTCCCCCACACTTATTGACCAAATAATGTTATATTCTTGTAAATATAAGACATTTTGATATCATGATATATGTATATGCAATGATGATAGCATCAAATTGTCTGAAAATCAAATACAAATATGAAATATGTAGGGGTGTCTAATGGAAGAGATAAAATAGGGGTGCATTGAGGAAGCAGGGGGGCTGGTAGTTATGGGTCCTACTTTAGCAATGTATTAAATTTTGATTGTGCTTGTGTGCCACTTTGATTAGTTGGTTCTAGCTTTTGTAAAGTAAACTTCTTTTGAGTATTGCAATTTAGAAATGACATTTTAGACACATTATCAATGATTTATGATGCTTGTAATGGAAGATAGAAAGATTCATGAAACTCATGAAGTAACATGGAAACAATTATTGAGATTAAGATAACATCAACATGGGTCAAACAATTGATGTGGAAAACATACAACTTTTATTGCGTCTAGTATGGTTTTAATGCATAATGCATTATTGACGTTATCGTATATAAAAGGAAGAATCAAAGTCTCATCAGTTGACATAGATAGTAGATTTTGGTAATGTGTCGTTTCCAATATTTTTCATCGTCAAATCTTGGTTCCTCACTTTCGTTTGGGTAGTAGAAAATGCATTGTTATTTAGAGCTCAAAAAGTCCATTTAGAGTTCAAAGGTATAAGTGTTTTTAGTAGGCTAATATGAACTCGGCCCAATCCAAAACCGGTTTTGTTATCAAAAGCATGGCAATAACTTAATTCCAGTGAAGCATATACGCAAATAGTCGGTACATATCTTGATAATGACAAACAAATAATAATTTATTACTAAAGGGAGAGTACAAGATATCTTGTACAAAGCACAACATCTCATTGTAAATATTTCACGAACAAAAAGAAACTACATCTACAAACAACTGGATGTTCTTGTCCGACGAACCACCCTCTGTCACTGTCTCACGAGCCGCCCTTTTCAACTTTGCTATGTTCTTTTTGAACTCCTACGACCTTGGCCCAGTCAAAACCTCTTCCACGCATTGTCATCTTCCCCATCAAAAAAACGCTTCTGGATTCTTACTTAGTTTCACCCCGATGCCCCAAATATGTAACAAGCTTTGCATTCGTCGGTTGGTCAGGACAAACAACCATTTGTACACCGGTGGTGACAATTTCAATAAAGGAGTTCCACCTATAATGACTTAAGAAACACCCAACTAATGGATGTGACAACACAGCAGTTTGCAGACTCCATCTCACAACCAAACCATGTTCCTTAATCTCCTCCCAGATCTCAGACCAGTTGCATGTTTTTTATTTGTTTCTCTGATGATCTCGCCAAACAAAAGTTCTGCTGAATAACTTTTATTTATCATACATGGTTCCATAAATGTATTTGTTGTTCTTGGGGGGATCGATTTTGAGGGTGAGTCTCCGATTTTGACTTTTAAATTGTATTTGAGAAAGGAAAAAATTGTATTTTGGCTTTTAAATGAGAAAAATGCTTGAATTTGAAACTGGCTAATATAGGTTAGATGACTAAAAAGACAGGTCACTTCAAAGTTTATTCCCTCATAAAACACGGAAATAACTTAAGGTTCTGAACGGGCAAATGTAAAATACATTGTAAGGCTACTGTGTCATTCCCCTAAAAAGTAATGTATCTGCAAGGTATGGATTCAAAAATGTATGGCAATTCAATATCATCAGAACATGTCACAATTGTTGAAGTGGGACGAATCATTAATGTAATAGTTGTCTCCTATACCAATAAAAGTTAAATCAAAAAAAGAAAATGTAACCCAATTATAATAGTTTCAATCCAATTATAGGATGGTACTTTCACTATTTTCATCTTTATAGTAGTGAAATGCACTGCTTTGTATTTGGAAGAATATGCAATAACTGGATAGCTTTTCCAAAATTAAATGCTATAGTATAAAAAAATTTAAAAGCATGCAATGATAAGCAAAAAATGGAAGTACATTGCTATTTGTTGCATTCAATCATTTGAAAAATAATGTTAGATCAAAGTTGAAGTAAGGCGGATAAAAGTCTATTCTTGTAAGCAAAACCCCACCCAAATTATAAAATAAAACAAAAAAAATAGAAAAACAATGTAGATGTGGCTTATTTCAAAACCCTTTTCAACCAACACCCACCTCTCTTGGAAATACCTTCTATAGCTCCGACTTTGAGTAAGTAAGTCTCAACCATAGGAATCGTGTTTAACAATAATTTAGATAAATAAGCATACTTGTCTGTAATTATATGAGATATATTTTTAATCCAGAATCAGTATACGTACAAACAAACACAATCAATCAGTGATGAGCACCCATCTATAATCAACAAATGGAGCATAAATAAAACGACTAATTGTCCCAAAATGGAATGGAATACATGAGGGTTCTTGAGTGAGTAGAGGGAAACCAGATGGACGACAGATCATGATGCATTTTTTTGTGAAATAATAAGGGCTAAAATGGTCTTTCAATATTAACATGACATAATAGGTGAAAATGGTATGAGGGTAGAGTGTACGCCCACAATATCAGCACAAATGTGTAATCCTAAAAATACCCCTTATCATTTGATCCCTTACTAGGGATGAGCATATGGACCGGGGAACCGGCCGGAACCGGTCCCGGAACCGGAACCGGTACCGGAACCGGAACCCGATGGAACCGGTCGGGCCGGGACCGGTACTATAATTTCGTCATTTTTTGGAACCGGGACCCGGTAAGAACCGGTTGTTGGAACCGGCCCAAAACCGGGAACCGGACCGTATAACTCACTCAAATTTTGAAAGTTGCATAACTCACTCAATTTAACTTTTTTTGACCTGAATCTTTTTCCTACATGTAGATTATGATTTGTAGTTATGTTTAGACTATAAAAACGCTTGATTTGGTTAAAAATTGAATGCGTTACAAGCCCCACAAAGAAGGATGTCAAATCAGAATTATTTTTATGTTTCAGCAATTAAATGTAATCTGACTTTGTTGTTCAAATGTACATAACTCACTCAATTTAACTTTTTTTGACCTGAATCTTTTTTCCTACATGTAGATTAGGATTTGTAGTTAAGTTTAGACTATAAAAACGCTTGATTTGGTTAAAAATTGAATGAGTTACAAGCCCCACAAAGAAGGGTGTCAAATCAGAATTTTTTTTATGTTTCAGCAATTAAATGTAATCTGACTTTGTTGTTCAAATGTGCATATCTCAATCAATTTAACTTGTTTTGACCTGAATCTTTTTCCTACATGTATATTATGATTTGTAGTTAAGTTTAGACTATAAAAACGTTAGATTTGGTTAGAAATTGAATGAGTTACAAGCCCCGCAAGGAAGGGTGTCAAATCAGATTTTTTTTATGTTACAGCAATTAAACGTAATCTGACTTTGTTGTTCAAATGTGCATAACTCACTCAATTTAAGTTTTTTCTACCTGAATCTTTTTCCTACACGTAGTTTAGGTTTTGTAGTTAAGTTTAGACTATAAAA